GCAGCTATGGCTCACATATACGAGCAGTGTTCGAGGCACAGCCAGTGTCTGGTGCCTGGCACAGCAGTGCTGTTCTGCTCAGACTATTTGCTGGTGGTCTTATTTGGGGTGTCACTCCCAACCTACCTTGACTCCCTAGCACTTGAAGAATTCTGTGAACCTAAATGATCTTTTGGCAGCATCAGCATGGATGGTGAAGAGATTGAGATAGTTAACAGTTTTAATTTACTTGGCTCCAAAGTCAACACTCTTGGTAACAGCAGCCAGGAAATCAGGAGACGAATTGCATTGGGAAAGTCGGCTGTGAGGGACCTCTCAAGAGGACTGAAGAGCAACGATGTCAGGCTGGAGACTAAGGTGCTATAGCCTGATCTGGGCTATAGTCTTTGCAATTATGTGCTATGCATCAGAGAGTTGGACAGTGAATAGGGTTGATAGAAAGAGGTTTGATGCTTTTGAGCTGTGGTGCTGGAGAAGAGTGTTGAATATACCATGGACTGCTAGGAGAACAAACAGGTTTGTCCTGGAGAGGGTGAAGCCAGAGTGTTCCCTGGAGTCAAGGATTCTGAAGCTTCGTCTGACATATTTTGGGCATGTTGCAAGGAGGGACTGGTCCTTGGAGAGGGACATCATGTTTGGCAGAGTGGAGGGGCAGCAAAGGAGAGGAAGACCTTTAGTGAGATGGATCGATTCTGTGACTAGAGCGGTGGGAATAAGTGCGTTTGAGATGGCTAGGTTGGCACAGGATAGAAAGCATTTAGAGCTCTTGTACATAGGGTCGCTATGAGTCACAAGCGACTTGATGGCACACAACAACAACAACAACAACAACAAATGATCTTTGAATAAACAAACTCCTTTTCTACTTGAATCTTCTGGTATAGGGTGTAGCAGATTGTACTACTAACCCAAGGGCCATGTGTCACCAGCACGCCAAACCCCATTAGCCACTGTATAGCAGAAAGATGGAGAGTTTCCTCCCGTTTCAGTTTGTTGTTTTTGTTATGTGCCACTGAGTTGAGTACAAGTCATAGTGACCCTTTGAACAACAGACCTGAACCCTGACCTATCCTGAGCCATCCCTATCATCTCTGACATACTTGAGTCCAGGATTGTAGTCACTGTGTCAATCCATATCACTGAAGGTCTTCCTTTCACTGACCTTACAACTTTCTTATCATGATGTCCCTTTCCAAGTAACACCCCCTTCTGGCAACATGTTCAAAATATGTGAGATCACTATCCTTGTCTCTAAGGAGCCTCCTGACTGCTCCTTCTTCAAGACATAGCTGTTTGTTATTTTGGCAGACCATAGGCTATCCAGTACTCTTCTACAATACCACGATTCAAAGGCATTGATTTTTATTCTTCCATCCTTATTCATTGTCTAGCTATCAGATACATAGCATGGGATTAAAAAGACCATGGATTGAATCAAGCACACCTTAGTCTTCACACTGACGTAATTTCTCCTCAGTACTTTAGACAGTGACTGTGACAGTGGACTGGCCTGAGGCAATACATCTTTTGATTTCTTGACTTTTGCTGCCAAGAGTGTTGATTGTGGATCCAAGTAAGATGAAGTTGTTGATAATTTCAATCTTTTCTCCATCTGTTATGATGTTGCCTATCAGCCCAATGGTGAGGATTTTTTTTCTTGACATTTAGATATAATTCATATTGAAGGCTATAACATTTGATCTCCTGCAGCAAGCCCTTCAAGTCCTCCTCACTTTCAGCAAGGATAAAGCAGACTATAGATGAAACTTCCTCTTATCCTGTTGCCACATTTTTCTTCATAGTATCCAGCTTCTCAAATGATTTGCTCAGCATACAGATTGAATAGGTGTAGAAAAAGGATATTGCCCTGATGCACACTTTTCTTGATTTTAAATCATACAGTGTTCCTCTGCTTGCTTCAGGCAACAGCTTCTTGGCCTAGGTATGGGTTTCATATGAACATGATTAAATGTTCTGGGATTCCCATTCTTCTCAATGTAACCATACTTTGTTATGATCCATGCAGCTGAATGCCTTTGCATACTCAAGAAAACCCCAAAATAGACATTCTTCTGGTATTCTCTGCTCTCTACCAAGATCTGAGATCAGCAGTGAGATATCTCACGCCATATCATCTGCTAAATCCAACTTAAATTTCTGGAAGTTCTCTATCTAGCTGTTTTTGGGTGATCATCAGCAATATTTTCCTTGCATGTGATATTAATGGTATTGGGTCACCTTTCTTGGGAATAGGAATCCACAGATGACAAGGTAGAAATGTGGAGGGAACAATGTGTTAAGTCCAAAATTTAGAGTGAGGGAGAAGATTGTTCGGGACTTCCTGGATATCCTTTGGGTCTCCAGCCAGACCAGGGCTCTGGAAGGCATAGCTGTTGAGATGACCAAAGCATGTCTCAGCCTTCTTTGAGGTCGTACTCCCTGTTTCCACTATATTGCGGTGGGCAGGAAGCAGCCCAGCCTGAGTCTGATTTGAAGAGAAAAGTGTTTGCAAGAGGTTTGTTCCTGGCTAGAGGAGGTGCTCCTGGCACTGCCTTATTCCAAGGCCTTCCATCCTTTGGTGTCACTTGATTCATGTCACCACCAACAGTAAAGGCTTTGGGCCTTCATCAGGCAAGTCACTACACTTTACATATCAAGGGGGCAGATGAACCAGATTTAGAAATGTATAGAAATCTAGAGAACAGCAGGATGTTCTGAAGCAATTAGCTGGGGACACATAAAAATCAAAGAAAGAGAAGGAAAGTCATGAAGTGTGTGTGTCCTTAGCCTTTGTGTCCTAAGGGCGTGCAATTACCTTGCAAGAGACTGGGACAGAGAGAACGATGGACTAGCTTCATTCTCATCTAGCGTAATTACTCTGTTTGCTTTTCACTGGGGACCATGGCCCGTCTTGTTTTTCTGTAGCAGCATCCTGCACCATGCCACGCTCAGAGAAGGCACTCAGTGGGCCTCTGAAATGAATGAGTGACTTTGAGCTTTTCCCTGACAATGGGAAGGTGCTGTGAATGTGGGCAAAGGTTGATTTAAATGCAGGCAGCCTGGCCAAGGGGTGTTGGTGGGTATATGTAGAGTGTTAATCAGCAGTCAGCAGGAGACTGCCCAATTCCTTCCATCCTAAACCTAGAAGGACATACATGTTCTACTTCCTTAGCACAGACTCGGCTTCTTCCTGGTGGCCAGGTAGGAATAGGCTCTGTGTATGGGCTTTGAGGCCCAAGCAATTTAGAGTGGATGTCTATTTGTCCATCCCCTTGGGTCACAGGCTAAGATAATATGGGCATAGGCACAGGTCTGATTTCTGACTCTGCTTCTGTATTCCACCCTGAACCAGCAGGAGGAGAAAGGGGACCTAACAACCTGGTGTTCAGCAGAAACTGTGGGGACTCCTCTGTCCCAACAGTACATCGTGTTTCCTTTATTTTGTCCCAAATGCACACAGCTGCCAGCGCTCTTCTTAAAATGATGGTCTTTTCTTTTCCCACCACTAGCATCCACCCTTTGGAAGAGAACATCATGCATGGAAGGGTGGAGGGTGTGTGCAAGAGAGGAGAACCCTCAACAAGATGGATTGACACAGTGACTATCACAATGGACTCCTGTATATCAGATGATGAGGATGGCTCAGGATAGGACAGTTGTTCACAGAGTTGTTCATACGGTTGCTGTGAGTCCTGCTGGCCTCCACAATATGTCAAAACAGCAGCAGCTTCTCATGCAGTAGCTTCAGGGGCCAATTGCTCCATAAGCAAGGTGAGCACAGGCTTACTTGTCCTTATTTGTTGTTGTGTTGTTAAGTGCCATCCAGTTGTAGGCAACTCATAGCAACCCTATGAACGAAAGTCCTCAAAACTTGAGTGACTTTCGTCCTTTCTCCAGGTTCATAGGGTTTCCAGAGGCAAGCTATTACGGAAGTGGATGCCACTCCTGCTTCCACGCTTGTTTTAATCGGGAAGCTCCACCAAACACTGTCCACCATGGGTAACAGTTATCACATTTGACATATCAGTGTCACAGTGTTCAGCTTCACAGTAACCACAAGTTACCTCTGTACAGCAAGTGGACACACCAGGGCTACATGACCTAGAAGAATGTTTGACCAAAAACAATTAAGAACAGGCCTGAGGGCCACAGATTATAGTCACTCTTTTACTAAAGAGTAATGAAGCCCATGAGAAAGTGCTCACTACAGATTAATAAGCAAGCACTGTAAGCCCTTACTTGGAGTGGGACTCCATCCCTTTCAGGAATTTTAAGTCAGAAAAGAGGCTTCGGTTCTGTAGGAAGGAGAAGCAGTGTTGATGTGAAAAGGTGGGAGTGTTTAGTAAGCACACACAGGTGTGCTCCAGGCTCTTGCCTGTTGGGCAGTCCTCTCCTGGGTGGTCTGGGGGGCCACTTCAGGAATTCTGCAGGAGCCATCAGACACTGCAGCAAGCTGCCAGTTTCTCTATTTGCATAGAAATGGCCATATTGAAAACAAAGACTTTTCTATCTTGGGTTTTATAAATCTAGTGTCCACACTCCAGGCTTTCCCCCATTACTTCCCTCTGTAAAATGATGAGGAATACAATTTGCTAAATAAAAAAGCATAAATATAAGGGAAAGAAAGCTTCTATAGTCTATTTACATAAAATACTGCTTTATTTGAGAGCGAGGCCCCGAGACAAAGTCCCTGTTTAAAATGTTTTATGGTGTTTGAAATCTCAATTGTTCTTGATATTTATTAGTTTGGCAAACAAGTTACTGTGTCCATGTCCCCTTGGAGATAGAAAAATAAACCATCTCAGTGATCGCTTACCTCTAAACACAGAGAATATGTTCTATGGTGAGAGCATTCCTGGGCCATCGGGTTACAAATGACTGTGTCACTCGCAGAAAATGAAATCTGGGGAGGGAAGAAATAAATACACTCAGAGCATCGAGGACAGGGGAGGCTGCTTTGTCATACCAACTGGTGACATTAACTTCTTTTTATTCCACAGTACCGAAGATTGTAATATTAGGCCCACCTGCCTCCGGGAAAACAACTATAGTAAGTGTATCATATTAAGTGTTATAATACTGTAATATCTCATTTATCCTGCAAATCTGAAATGAGACACTGCACTATGCGAATTTTCAGCATAACTGGGCTTTTCTTTTTTACCTTCCCTCCCTTCCCAACTTACTTTCTTATTATGGATGCTAGCGTGTGCTCATTGTGGAAACCCAGACAGTGAAAGAAATAGAAATGTAATTTCCCAACCACAATAATAACTAATACATAAACATTGTTTTAACATTTTGGGGTATACTTTCTAAACTTTTCTCCATGCCTGTGTATACATTGTATGCACTCCTTCCCCTGCTCTGGCCCCCACTTTTCAGTTTCTGTTTCATTCAAAGGCAGCATTAGTTATCCAGTAGAGAGGAGGGATTGCATTTAGAGTTGGAAAACTTGGATCTACATCCTGGCCCTGCATTTTGTCTGTTTGATAACTTGAACACATCACCACTCTTCTTTAAATCTTAGTTTCTATGCCTTTGCAGTGGGGACCATTTTTCTCTTTCAGGATTGAAGCTGGAATCTAATGAGGGAAGCGTGGTTTTAACAGGATAGTCTCTGTTTCCAATGCTCCCAACCAACTCCAAAGCTGTCAGAAATTCAATCCTAATGTAGTCCTCATTCAGTCTTTAAGGTTATATTTCTAAAAGCAAAAAAGATGGGCCAAACAGCACATGCATTTCAAAGACTCTAGGTATGAAATCCTAAGGCACATGCTTAACATTTTAAATTATGAACTATACCAATGAGAAGAGTATAGGAATTAGATTATAGTTGCTCAAGTGTGTAACCCAAAGCCAAATTTTACAGAAGCATGTAATTTTTCTTTTTGCTTCAATTATTCTGTCTCCATTTTAAAGAAAATAAAACTTTAAAGGTATAGCCAGTGCCCTCTCCTCCATTCTTTACCATCTCCTTTTTTCATCTCTTTTTTTATGGAGAAAGTACAATCAGGGTCACAAGCTAGGAAAGGTAGAGAGGGTCAGTGAGAGAGAGAGAAAGACCTTCAGAGAGCTGGACAGAGGCTGTGACTGAAATAATGGGTGTGAACATGATAGAGATACAGATGATGCAATATGTTGTTCAGAGGGTTGCCCTGAGTCACACTTAACTCTGAAGAACCCAACAACAACAATTTGTGGGAGCAGACTGCTTGCAGCTGTCTTCTTCATTCTGTCTACATTTTTAATCCTTAAACACATTTTTAAGAGCCAAAACTTGATAATATTTTAATAATTTAAAATGAAACTCTTTCTAATATTAGCTTCTCCCCCACCCCATCATTCCATTTAAAACCTTGATCAGTTAGCCCTTCCTTGGTGACTTAAGTCACTGAGATATTCAAGACAGTTCCTGAACTCCTCTTCAGATTTACTGAATCAACATGTTGTGGAGTAAGGAAACCAGTTTGAGAGAATACTCCCCATCTGATTCTAATATTGGGAACTAGGACAAGAGTAGACTCTACTTTCAGACAATGAACTTATTGGAACTGTTTTAAAGAAGAATCACGTTGCTCAGTGTGAGGATCCCCTTTTGGTAAAGGGCTTTTCTTCTGTCACTGGGACATTTGTTACTCTGAGGTGTGTTTGCTTCCTTCCTAGTTCTAGCTCTTCTTGCAACACTGGTGAGGATTTGCTGGGTAGAATGAATGAAGTGTTTGTAATTCAGAGCATTGGAGAACTTCCCTTTTCAAGTCTGAAGTTGACTGAGGCAATTACTCCTCAATGAGGTCAGGTTCTGACACCTCTCAGCTGGTGTCTCAGCCACCAACCTTTGGTGAGTTCACTGTCCTTGCCTCTGACCACCCAGAACCTTTTGCAATGATCAAATGGTAGATAGTAAAAATCCAAATAGAGAGCCTGGAAAAGCTTTGCTGGATATTCTTCCTGCTGCTTCCCAGAACAGTGAACAAAGAGAGTGAAGGTTCACACCTACCTGGGGAAGCTAGAAGGGCCTTCAGATCATCCCAGCACTGAACTGACCATCAGCATTATTTTCATGTTAAGAACATTTTGTGACAATACTATTCTTTAAAATTCTTTCCATGTTGAATTTCACTTTGAGAATACTTTTCAATTAATTAAATGCCCAGTTGTCCAGAACACCTCATCTCCCATACTTTAGGATAAAGGAATGTGGATTGTGATCCTTATTTTTCTCACAGTTCTGTTCTAAACATTTCTTGATCTAAAAATTGATGGCCCAAATTACATAAAAAGTCATACAAGGCAGCCAAAAAAGCATAGCCCATTTTTAGGTTTCACCTCCATTAAGGCTCAATAGCTGGTAACCAAACATCTTGAGTAATGAATTGAGGGGTACAGGACCACAGTCTTAGTGGACCCACCAAAGTCAGTTGGCATAAGTTGGTCTAAAAAAAAAAAAACAAAAACCAAAAAACCAACCCCAAAAAATAACCCTACTGTGTGAGTGGCAACTGGGGTCTTAAAAGATTGTCAGTGAACATTTAGATGTCCATTTCTGTTTGTCTCCTCTGTCCAGAGCTAAGAGGGTGGAGAAAATGAAAGAAACCATTAGTTCAAAGGACTGATAGACCACATGAATCTCAGGCTACATGACCCTGAGAGAAGAATTAGATTGTGTCTCGCTACCCCCGCTCATTTCTTGGAGAGGGACCACATTAGAAGGGCCTATAAAAAGTGGGAGAGAAATGTGGAGCCAAATATAAGAGAAAGGCAAGGCTTACTGGTTTGATAGGTACTGGTGGAATCCTAAACACCATGGCTTTAATCCTTCAATCCTGGATCCGAGCTCCTCTCATAACTCAACTTTCAGCCAAACAATAGACAGGCCTATAAAATGAACACCAGGAAGGCAAGCACTCTATATAACAGTCATCCATTCAAGATCAAAGGGTAACAGAGATGAAACTGAGAAGACAGGAAGAGTTAGAAAGAGTGGTGTTACATAATGGGGACTGCAATCAATGACATGAAACAAATGTTGAATGGAAAAAATTGCTGGGTGGAAAATTTATTTGCTCTGTAAATCTTCACTGAATTACAACAAAAATTTTTGAAAGGCAAGGTCATGACTGGATCGAGAAGAAGATGACATACAAGCAGAATTTTGGTTGATGGTGGGTGCCATCAAGTCGACTACGACTCATAGCAACCCTGTGATCAATGGATCGTAACTGTGGCCATTCCTGCACCGTCCTTATGATCTCTGTCATGCTAGAGCCCATTGTAGTAGTCACTTTGTCAGTCTATCTTGTTGAGGACCTTACTTTCTCTGACACTCCACCTCTTCCAGCATGTCTCTCTCCATGGATTGGTTCCTCCTGAGAACATGCCCAAAGTGAGACAAAGTTCCACCATCCTTGCCTCTAAGGAACACTCTGCTTGTCCTTCCTTTAAGACAGATTTGTTTATTCTATTGGCAATCCATGGGATATTCTATACTCTTCACCAGTACCACAATTCAAAGCATCTTTTCTTCTTTTGCCTTCTTTATTCATTGTCTACCTTTCAGATGTATATAAAACAAATGAAAAGACCATGGCTTGCATCTGAATTTTTGGCTAGCTGATACTTTATGAATTTTTCTTACTTAGTGCCCTCCTTCCAGCCAGAATGAACTATGCTTCTGAGGGAACGGCATGAATCCCTGTTTCAGGTGTCCGAGGAGACCTCCCCCCAACCCTCAAAGCCTAGCCATGATTCAACCTTGAACAGGAATTATTAACTCCAGAAGTAGACATGGGACCATAAAAATTCTTAGTTTTAGAAGCAGGGTAAGCCCTAAGGTGCAGACAAATCTCCAGGACCTGCTATCTTATCAGGTTAGAAGTAATCAATTAATAAGACAACCTGACACCGGAAAGCAGCTCAGGAAGCACAGGGTGGGGAGGGGCGGACAGAATAAGCCCACCAATCGGAAGCTGACCCACATGACTGAGTATCCCAAGCACCAATCACCAACCACGTTCCCAATTACCCCGCCCTGAGTGGATGACATCAGAACGGCCTTATAAGCAGGAGATGGGTGCGTTCTCACTCTCTTCCCTGTGCGGGGTTGGTTTGCAGAGGGAGGCAGAACCTTTATATATAGGGAATAAAGGCGTTCTTTGTATATTACAGACGTTGAAAGAAAGAACTCTTTTGGGGGCACCCCCGTCAGGCGTAACACTTCCCCCAACATGGCCAAGATGCCAGGGTCAGGCATATATATTGAAAATAGTTATCTTAATATAGTCACTGCTTTGATTGTAACTTTCTGCACCTTTTTCCCATCTTCAGGCAATGTGGTTGTGTAAACATTTGAACAGCAACCTCCTTACTCTGGAGAACTTGATAACAAAAGAGGCTTCCATTCTGGCTGCTGAAGCCACACAGCATTATGAGAAATACAAGGTAGGATGCCGCCTCCCCCCACAACAGTGATACGCCTCCCAAGGCCCACCCTCTCCTCCTCTGTCCAGCTGAGCTGGTTTCCGTCTCCTTTTCTATTAACCAGAGAGTCTCTGGTAGAATAGTGTGGAGGGCGTTATGCTGCTAACCCAGCAGTGGCACCTCTTTGGCAGTTCATATCCATCAGTTGCTTCTCAGGCGAAAGATCGGCAATCTCCTGTGGAAGGTCAGCTGTGAATTGGTTCCAACTTGAAGGCAATGAATTTTGAGCTTTGAATCAATCAAGTGAAATATCTGAAGATAGGTAGAGTGTCCCAGAGGCCTGCACTTGGGGATGCATGGCTAGGGTGGGAGTTTACATAGCAGCTGCTCCTCTGTTTGCTGTACACTGTGGCCTAGGGGTGTTTTGCTTCTGTGATTTCAGGCATCCTTTGTTCCAGTGCTGTCCTCCTCCAGGCAGTCCCTCATCTGCTCTGTCCTCGTGCAGAGCTGGCTGGAGGCTGTGCTGGAGCATCCCAGGAGAGCTGGCTGTACTATTTGTAAGATTACATCAACTCTGTGTCTGTAAACATCCCCATCCCCCCAAGAAAGGAAGATAAAGGACTTGATCATATTGCTTCTCAAGAAAAATAACCAACCATTTAGAACTGAACCAGCTCTTGGTTCAGTTCTGACTCACAGTGACCTCATGTGTTTGAGAGTAGAACTGTGCCACATAGGATCATCAGTGGTTGGATTTTCAGCTGTAACTTTCCAGAACCTTCTTTTGAGATGCCTCTGAATGGAGTGGACTCACACCCCTAACCTTCAGGGTAATAGCTGAGCTCAGTTACCATTTACACTACTCAGGGACTCCGCAATACAAATAGAAATGAGAATATTTCTTCAGAATTTCCTTTGAAGCATAAGCTGCTTAAGTGTCTTTTTGGGCTTTCTCCACCTGGTCTCAGGCTCTCCATGGTGTGTGAGTGAGACAGCCGAGAGCTGTGGTCAAGATCGTCGTGTTTGGTGAGCACTTGCTGGGTGCTTGGTCCTTTCAGTCCTGACCTTACCCCGTCGTCCTCATTTCACCCATTTTATCTGCTGAAGGAAAAAAAATCTAAAGCCTGTGAAAATTGCATAATTGCTCGGACCTGAGCAGGATTCAGGTCAGATGATACCCTCTCAGCCTTCCAGGGCTTAAAAAGCCAGAATATACCAGCAGATGAATGAAGTGCCAGCTGAGTGACCCAGCCAGCCTGGCACGTGTCACTCTTGTGATATCTGATGACTCCATCAAGCAGAACTTTTAAACTTCAGTCACTCATCATGCCAAAGATAAAAACAGAAGAAGTACAGGTTGAAGTTGAACACAGCAGTGAGAGAGTGCCACACTCCCCTGTAGTGGAGTGGCCTGGGGCCTATGCACACGTTTATTTTACGTTATTGTTAGTCCAGGCTGGGCTTCCTACAGCTGTCTGTGCAGAACCCACAGGCCCCGAGATGGTTGCATCCCAGCCTTTACTCAACAGGCAAGGTAAAATAATGTGGCCACTATTCCTTGGAGAATTTGGGAGTATCCAGGCTTTATGTGGCAGGACAACTCTCTTGGCCAGCCCTTGGTTGCAAGGAGCAAGAATCCCTTCACACTGGGTGTGAATGAGGCACCAGAATTCACAGAATAAGCCAGTAGCTTCTTACTTAAGTGACCAAGAGCAGGGCCGCTTTTGTTGGCTCCACTCTGCCTTGTTGGGGCCACTCGGTTTCTTATCTCAGTGCTCCCTGCCATTTCTCCTTTCTCTCCTCCCTGCCTCCTTTCACTATGCTCTTGACTAAACATGATGGCCACCCCTTTCATATATCCCTATGCCCTCAGTTCAAACCACTGACAGGGCAGCCCCAGGGCCAAATTCTCAGAAACATCAACCTGAAGGGACCATCTGGTCAGCTGTTCACAGGGTCCCTGGTGAAGGATGAACAGAGTAGGTACAGTGTGCCCTGCAGCAGCACAGACCTGGCTGTGACAGCCTTCTGGGGTGAAGGCAGTTTTCAGCCTGAGGGGTATGGCTTGGACAGAATACCAAGTTTGAATATTACAACAACTTGTTAGAAAAGAGGAGAGTGTCACTCAGGCAGTTTAGCCACCTCCACAGTGCATCCAAAACATGCTTCAGCCAGTGGATTGTCTCCATATTCCCTCTCTGGGAACCTCAGCCCATGTGGGGGAGTAGTGATGCCCCATCCTACCCTCCGGCCTTCCTGGAGTTAGTGTGTGGTCATTCTTTGGGGGGACATTAATTTTTGAGGGGAATACAATTTTAGAAAGAAAGTGGTTATCTCATTTTTCTGCAGAAGAAGCCTGTAAGGGTTGGGCAGGAAGGCTTATTTCTAGGATAAAGATGCTTTTATTAGTTCTTAAAATTCAGCATAGAGGAGGGAGTTTAAGGAAATTCCTCCTGGGTTTCATTACACTAATTACCAACATATTTCAGACCACATCGAAGTGCTTTCAAGGGTGTCTTGTTGGGGTTCCTTGGCTCAGAAACACGGGTGGAGGGAAGATGAAAGGCAAGGACGTCAGAACTAATCAAGGAGTAAAAGGGTCTGAGGCGCAGGAATGGGTGCGCGTCGGGCTTGGCTGGGGAGGCCTTGTCTGTGGATGGCTGCCTGCAGAAGTCGGCGCTCATTAAATGCCGTTTTTAAAGTGTCTGCTGATTCGGAGTCCTTACAGCTCATTTTTCAAGGAGCAGTAATTCCTTCAAATACCTAATTTCCTCTTGCTAATCTTGGCTCCACACTCCTAAGTAGGATCTTCTCTTACATTCTTGCTGATGTTCACCAAGCCATCTCCATTTTAGACTTTGCCCAGGGTTTCCAAAATGCTTCTTAATCACCTACTGTGTGCCATGGGAGCTCAGAAGACAAACTCCTCCTTGCCCCTGGAGGCTCACAGCCCAATGTAGGAGGACTGAGGGCCCCTCAACACTGAGCACAGACAAGGCCTTGGAGGGAGGAGTGGCTTATGAATGAATTTGTTTATTCAGTAATGCTTCCTGAGCACCTGATATACAAAGAAGGAACTCTGGTGGTAGTGTAGTGTGTGACACTGCTAACCAAGAGGCTGTGTTTCCGCAAGTTCCAATCTGCCAGCAGCTCCCTTGACATAGATGGGAAGTTGTCTTCATGTCTATTCACAGCTTTGGACACTTGATGGAGGGTCACTGAATTGGCACCCACTGGATGGCAGGAGGATTTTCTTTTATCAAGGCCTGGGTGCTGACTGTGGTCTGGGAAGGAGTGCAAGCTGTATGGGGCTTAGGGGCTCTGCACAGTAATTGCTAATTAGGCTGAGCAAAGCCACCTAATAGACATAGCTGTGATGTGTGACACAGAGGAGCACAGAATGGGGGGAAATGTCAGAACCCACAATGGCCCAGAAGAAAGTGAGGAAGCTGGGGTTTCAAAGCAATCCAGGACTGGAGGTGATTTTATTTGTTTGTGTTTAATTGTCTACTATGAAATTGAATGCTCCAAGAAGTTCAAGCTGCTCTGAAAGAATTGGCAAAAAAGAAGGCCCCAGGAACTGACGGTATACCAAATGACATAGTTCAATAAATAGATGCTGCCTTGGATGTGCTCACTAAGTTGTGCTAAGAGGACAATCACCTGGCCAATTGACTAGAAGAGATCCATATTTGTTCACATTCCAAACAAAGGAGACTTGACAAAGTGCAGAAATTATCGAACTACATCATTAATATCCCATACAAGCAAGAGTCTGTTGAAAATTATCCAAAAGCAACTGGAAGAGCACATCAACAGAGAACTGCCTGAAGTGCATGCTGGGTTCGAAAGAGGCTATGGTACTAGACATATTGTAGCTACTGTCAGATGGATCTTGGCTGAAATCAGAGAGTACCAGAGCAATATCTATCAGTGTTTCATTGGCCAGTGTTTCATTTGACTGTGTGGATCACAAAAAAACTGTGGCTAACTCTGAGAAGACTAGGAATCTCAGAACACTTGATTGTGTTTATGCAAAACATATACTTGGACAAGGAGGCAGGTGTCAGAACAGAGCAAGGGAACACTGTATGGTTCAAAATTGGGAAGAGTGTATGCCAGGGATGTAACCTATCTCCAAATCTTTTCAATCTATATGCAGAACTTATTATCTGGGAGGCTGGGCTTTATGAGGAGGAATGTGGCATCAGGATTGGAGGAAGACTCATCAATAGTCTGCGTTATGCAGATGACACAAGCCTGCTTGCTAAAACTGAGGAAGACCTGAAGTGCTTGCTGCAGAAGGTCAAGAACTACAGCCTTCAATATGGATGAAACTCAGCATCAAGACAACAAAGATTCTCACCACTGAGTCAATTGGCAGCATCCTGACAGATGATGAAGAGACTGAGATTGTTAACAGCTTTAGTTTGCTTGGCTCCACAATCTACACTCTTGGTACCAGCAGCCAGGAAATCAAAAGACAAATTGCATTAGGAAATTCTGCTGTCAGGGACCTTTCCTGAGTACTGAAGAGTAACAGTCTGAAGACTAAGATGAGCCTTATCCAGGCCATTGTCTTTGCAATTACTTACTCTGCATCAGAAAGCTGGACAGTGACTAAGGATGATAGAATTGATACCATTGTGCTGTGGTGCTGGAGAATAGTATTGAATATACTATGGATTTGCTAGGAACTCAAACAGGTTCATCCTGGAGAGGGTGAAACCAGGCAAATTAAAAAAGGTAAGGATTCTGAAGCTTCGTGTGACATACTTTGGTCATGTGGGTAAGAGTGACCACTCCTTGGAGAGGGACATCATGCCTGGGATGGTGAAGGGACAGCTCAAGAGAGGAGGACCCTCAATGAGATAGATTGATTCTGTGACTGGGGTAATGGAGGTAGATGTGTCAGAGACCATAGGGTTGGCTCAGAATAAAGCAGTATTCAGAATTGTTTTACATAGGGTTGCTATGAGTCACAGGCAATTTGACAGCACATAATAACAACAACAAAAGTT